GATACAATCCTTTCTTTATTAGTGACGTCGCTGCGCCTGTATCTACTAAAAGTTTTATTGGGATCGAACTAGTCCTTATAATTAAATAGGATAGCGATCGTTGGCTGGTGATTGAAAATTTGAATGTCCAACAACTCCTACTTCCATAGGAATCGGACTATCATTATTAGCATTATTATTGTTTCTATATATTTGATTTGAATGTTGTTGTGGGGGGTAGTTTATATTTTGATTATGGTAGGGTTGAAATTGTTTATTGCCGTTGTGAAAATTATTAGAAACATTACTTTGATTGTTAAAATTTCGAATTTGATTTGAATACTGTTGTGGGGGGTAGTTTATATTTTGATTATGGTATGGTTGAACTTGTTTATTGCCGTTATGAAAATTATTGGAAATATTACTTTGATTGTTAAAATTTCGAATTTGATGATTTATATATTGACCAGAATTATCGTGTTTTTGTACTGCAGTATTTTGTGATGAAGAATTATTGTTGTTATAATATCTATTGTGATTACTATTTTGTTGATAATTTAAATTATTGTTATATTTATAATTATTGTTTTGTCTATTATTATTAGAATAATTTTGGTCATATTTATATGAAAAAGGTTGCATATGAGAATTGTATTTTGTACTATTGTTTACCTTTTTATAAAAATATTCAGTTTCGATTAATATTTCTTTCGCTTTTAAAAGACTATCTGGATTCCTAGCATTTAATATTAGTTTTGCCTCAGCAGGTAGTTTATTAATAAAAATTCTTAAAACCATCTTTTCGTTATTGGTGCATGTGTACCATTGATCACTGCTATCTGATGCAGCTCTTAAATTTAATCTGGTTAACAATGTTATTAATTGCTCATATAAATTATTAATACTCTCTCCCATCTCCAACATTTTAATTTTGTTAATAATGCTCTCAATACTCTCATTGATACAAAAATTAGCTTTTAAAACTCTCTTAATTTCGTCCCAAGTTGTTGGACTACTATTATTTATAAGAGCAATATTAGCACTATTAACAATCTTATGTCTAATTTTTAAATCGAACAATGCTATATGTGTACCTTCGACGTATTGCCTTATCTCTTCAATGGATCTTATAAAGAGTGGAAGTTCTTCAGCTTTGCCATCGAAATCAGGAACGCTCTTAAGAAATTCAAAAACATTGTACGCTGCCATGATGAATGTTGTGATCTTCCTTTAATTTATTTTCTTTCTATTTTCTTCAAATTGGGGAGGGGGAATGGCGGTTTGGTTTAATATTCTGGTTGTTGATTATTTTTGTATTGTTGTTGGCTAATTGTTGTTGTTGTTATGATTGCAATTTTTGTGATTCTGCATTGATGTTTAAATTCGTGGGGTGGGTAAACTTTTTTGGTGTGATGATGGGGGGTCTTTGGTCACGTACGCATGAAATTTTGCAACGTCTAATTTTTAAGTTTTGTTATGTCTTCAAAATTGTTGGTGTTTTTTTGTTTTGTTAATTCGTTGATGATGTGGTGTTATTTGTTGTAACCAAAGTGTATCAAAACTGGAGTTCATAGAAGGTACAGTTTCGTATGAAATTTTTAGTTGTAATTTGTTCATGAATATTTTGATATTTCGATTTAGTCTTTTCACAAATATGTTAATATCTAAAATAATAGCTTTTCGCATACATTACGATTTTATGTAACATAAAATTTGATTTGATTTTTTTTTTTATTTCAAATGGAATATTGTTCACAATGTTTACTTTATCAAAATTATTTTTATACGATTTTCACTGTTTTTATGTTGATGGAAAAGATTTTATATTTTCACATTTATTTGGTTCGTAAACCGACTGCGCCAGTTATGTTTTAGATTTTTTGTAAAACATTTTAATTATTTATTATTAAATAAAACACTTTTTGAAAAGATAATTTTTAATTCAATTTTTTATTTTTTTTTAAATTACACACAATTTTCAAGGTTACGGATGAATGTAAATGATACTAACTCAACTAATCTTGATTGATGATTGAAACTCTTAAAACAAAATACATCTCATTATATTAAAATTAAATAATGTGATTATTAATCATCATTGAGAGGAAAGCAAATAACAACAAAAATAAAGTGGGAGTGAGTGGGAGAATATTGGAGAGTGAGAGAATGATTATTAAATAAGAAAGAGTGAGAGCGAGAGAACGTTTTATTAAAAGAGATGAATTAAAGGTCTAAGAGAAATGTTTAGATAATTAGAGTTAAGATGTTAAGGAAGAGGTATTGTTGTATGTAGGCGAATGTGACTCTATGCAGGTCCACGTCGTCATATAAGCATTCGGTATTTTTAAGATTTTAACAGAATTTTTAACGGATTTTATTTATTTATTTATTTTATTTTTTTTTGTGGAAATTGCCAAAATTGTACCAAGTGGTGGAGGGTATTAAAAGTTCGGCCCGGCCGAACTTACAGCTTTTTTACTTGTTTGTACATACTTCTTTCATAACTTGTAGTATCAACTCGAAATGTTTGAAAGAAAAAATCATCAAAAACAATTGTTAAAATTATTGTAAATATTATACCCTCAGCAATATGGCTACAGAGGGAATATATCATTTGATATGGCCAAAACGTGCTTAATCGAAATAACGGGTTTAAATCTTAGGTCTTTGTCCGTCCATCTCTCTGTTTGTCTGACTGACTGGCGCGCACGATAACTCTCGAAGGAAGTATCTGATTTGGTCCAAACTTGGTACATCGTAACATTATTGTCAAACTTAGATCGAGTTCGGAGATGGACAATATCGGTCCATTTCTTCTGGTACCTCTGCCACAAAATGTCAACATTTTCAAAGAAAATATTTTTTTCCTGTACAGAAAGAGAAAGGATAATTCGATTTTGTTCCAACTTTGCAAATCCTAATATTTACATCAGCGCTAGGCCAGGTGCGAAAATGGACAATATCGGTCCACTTCATCAAATTTGGGCGACAATTGGGTAACATTTAGTGGGTAAAATAGACCCTAACGTTCATGTAAGAAAATACGAAAATTTCCACAGAGCCGGAAAACATTGTATTACAATAAATATTTTATACCCTCCACCATTTTATGGAGGGTATATTAACTTTGTCATTCAGTTTGTAACTCCTCGAAATACTCATGTCAGACCCAGCAAAGTATATATATTCTTGATCAGCGTAAAATGCTAAGTCGATTTAGCGATGTCCGTCTGTCTGTCTGTCTGTCTGTTGTAATCACGCTATCTTTCGAACAAATTGAGATAGAAGGCTAAAATTTTGCACACATGTATATTTTGCCAGTAGGCAGGTTAAGTTCGTAAATGGGCCATGTAGGTCCAAGTTATCATATAGCCCCCATATGACGGTACCTCCCGATATTCGGTATTTTGATGATTTTAGCGACATTTTTGACCGGAATTGTTTCAAATTTGGTATTTGAAGTTCGAAATGGATACTACAGACTGAGACAAAAAATTATCTGTGCAGGTCCACGTCTTCGTATAGCCCCCATATAACGGCACCTCCCTATATTCTGTATTTTGCTGATTTTAGCGACTTTATTTACCGGAATTGTTTCAAATTTGGTATTTGAAGTTCGTAATAGATACTACAGCCTATAACAGAAAATTGTTTATGCAGGTCCACGTCTTCGTATAGCCCTCATATAACGGTAACTCCCCATATTTAGAGTTCGTAATGGGAACTACAGTCTGTGACAGAAAATTTTCTATGTAGGTCCAGGTCGTCGTATAGGCCCCATATATCAGTACCTCCCTATATTCGGTATTTTGACGAGTTTAGGTATAATACCCAACGAAATTTTTTGAGATGTCATATTTGAAGTTCGTAATGGATGCTATAACCTGTGACAGAAAATTGTCTATGCTGGTCCAGGTCTTCGCACTGCTCCGATATAACGGTACCTCCCTTTATTCGATATTTTGATGATTTTAGCTACATTATTCACCTTTTATTTCAAGTTTCGAATTTGAATATGGTAATGGCTTCTGACAAACAATGCCTATGTAGGTCCACCTCGTATAGACTCCAATATAACGGCTATAATCGGTATTTTTAAAATTTTAACAGAATTTTTTAAGGGTTTTATTTTTTTTTTTAAATTTCCCAATTTGCTTCAAATGGTGGAAGGTATTCAAAGTTCGGCCCGGCCGAACTTACTGCTTTTTAACTTGTTTATATTATATTATTATATTCTTGAATTTGTTTTATATTTATTTAAAAACAACAAATTTTAGAATGAAGGGTCTCTTTCTGCATGACAATCCGAAAATTAATGCGAATGAGTTTTTTTCCCATTCCATGGGTGTATTTTTTTTTTCGCATTCTTATTTGGTTAAATTTTTAAACTGAAGGATAAAAAAAAAATTAATTCATAATGCGATAAGCGGATAATATTTTATAAAGAAAACAGTTTCTAATAATACAATAACAATAAAATAACTACAAAAATTCGTTAACTTTAAGTTCTCTTTAAAATGCACCGTGATAAAATGTGGATTAATATACTACATGTTGTCCGTTCTGTTTTTGTTTTTTTTCCTTACTCTAATACAATATTAGCCTTGTTAATGTCTTTAAAGAAATTTATACAAATTCATTCAATTTTCCATCATCCCGAATGCCTTAAGCCATCAATGTCCTGCAATATAAATCTTTAGATTACGAACTAATTAAGTTATCCAAAACATGGGCAAAAACTTTGTTAACAGCCTTTGTTAGGGAAAGAAAACAAATATCTCTTATCGAGATTATTCTGTAAAACCGAAGCAATAGAAAGCAAACAATGACTGCGAGTTTAAAAGTTTTCATCCCTCACACACACACACACAAATCCCTTTGACATGTAACAGAATACTAATGCTGAAATTTATTTCGTTTTTTCTTTCTCTCTCTCTCTTCCTTCTCATCTTCGTCCTGTCTTGTCTTTTGCCATTTTTCACTTGTGTTTCATGTATTACACTTCATTTATCATGAAATAGATTCCAATGAAATCGATACCATGGACAATGATAAGCACCATGAGGCGAAAGCATTTCGGGACAAGGATTACATCATGACAAAACATATTGCTTTGCTTGATGAGACAAAACGACGACGACAAATCGAGGTGGCAGACCCAGCACCAGAAGAGATGTCATCGAAATCAATAGCAACAACGACATCGCCAACAGCCATCTTTACCACACTACCAGAGGCATCGAAAGTGGCAACGCCTTCAACTTTGACAACAACAACAACAACAACACGCCACAGACACAGTTCGACGAAAGCAACGAAAACGATGGCAGCAGAAAATTTACCGGCAACAGCTTCACTGGCATCATTAGTAAATCATAGATTGTATGCGAATAAGACTCACTTAGATGATTTATCATCTTTGTCCTTGTTGAGTCTGCAGGACACAACACTCACCACAGCAGACTCACTGCAAACCACATTGTCTTCGGCCTTGTCCTCTGTGTCTGGTGCGACCACAACTCCTACCACCAGCAAATATGCCACTGCCCTGAGAGTAAAGGGAGACGAACAGACTATGCACCACACTAACAGCCATTTGACTGTTGACAATGTTAATGCAACAATTGTGGCAAGTAGCAATGGCGGCACTAGTGGCCCTCCACACAACCACCATCAACATCATCTCCATCAGGCGCTGCATTCCGATGGTGATTCTTCAAGTACCATTTCCGCCGGACATAGCAATCGCAGTGTAATTGTTGTTGGCACTACAAGCACCAGCATTAGTAACAGCAGCGCGACAACTACTACAGCCACGGCCAGGGACACAACAGACAACTTTCTGACAGCTAAACAGAATATTGGCGGAGAAGCGGGTAACAACAAGACAAACAGTACGGTGGGTAGCGGCACCACCAGGATATCAGCACGCAGAGTTGAACACAAACATCTACTGCCGAAGTCCCATAAAACCGATGCACCAATGTTGAATTATATATTTGATACCTTTTCATCGGCTAATAAGCATCACCATCATGATCAGAGGTAAGTGATTAGATGAATCTAATAAATTTAAGACAGCCTGGTGTCAGCCTGAGTTCCGTCATATATATATCCTCAGTATTTGACTTATGAATATATGCCTTATTTGGGGCACGTACCGAAAGAATGCACCAACATACTCCAACCTTACTTTAGAACTAATCTCAATACAAATGTTGCAATGGGCGAAGTTTGAAGGCAACCAAGGAATGGAAAGGATTTGCTCTATATGGGATATTTATGTTTTAGTTAGAATAAGTAGACCGCTGTATTTCATTTTCAAAATTGTTCTAAATAAAGCAAAAATTGGGCACTGATTTAATATTTTACGAATGATTATACCCTAGACCACATAGTGGTAGAAGGGTATTATGTCTTTCTGCATTTGTTTGTAACAGGGAGAAGGAAGCGAGATAGACGCATAATTACTTCTGAGGATATTCATAGAATCACTTCCTGAGTCACAATAGTCCAACGGATTGGTATCCGGAGATTTTAGTGGCCATTGTGCGCTGGAAATGAAGCGAGGAACCTCATTTTATAACCATTCTTGGGAAGAGCGTACTGAGTGCGATGGTGATGATTCTTGTTGGAATGTCCAAGATTTGCGGCCAAAATGTTTGGGTGCCCAAGGCTTTAATGCAGCCTCCAGAATATTTTCGCGATAATATTCGGCATTTATTCTGATGCTACGGTCGATTAATAGGAGCGGAGAGTGAGCTTCGGCTGTTATGGCGGCCCACACCATTACCAAGGCCGCGTTTGAGTTCTGGTGGCCAACCGAAGGTGCACATTTTCAGCTGTCCTCTTTGGCAATTAATCACGATCATTTTGTTTGTTTACAGCGGAGGAAATCATATTCGGCAGTTTACCACTTTCGGCCAGCGAAGCAACTCTTTAGCTCATTTGAGTCTATTTTTTATCTGTTGCGGTGTAAGTTCTTGCACTTGTTGGAATTTCAATGGCTCTACCCCGAGCTCATTTTTCAATACTCCGAGCTCATTTCACTGCGAAGGGAGTTTCAATCAAGTCGCTTATTCTCACCAATTTCAAAAGCGTCGGTTGCACTCTCACAATATTTTTATACCCTCCACCTTGGAAAGGAGGGTATGTCATTCCGTTTGTAACATCCCTAAATATTCGTCGTAGATCCCATAAAGTATATATATATTCATAATCAGCATAAAATTCTGAGTCGATTTAACGATGTCTGCTGTTAACGTCTGTCTGCTGAAATCACGATACTGCCCACGTTTTATGAAGTAGAGCGTCAAAATTTAGCAGAACGATTTTTATTGTGTCTAGAACGGTTGGTATTGAAAATTAGATGTATCGATTCACGTTTTTGTATAGTCCCCATATAACGGAACCTTTCGATATTCGGTATATTGATGATTTTTGCCACATTTTTCCACGGATTTGTCTAAAAATTGGTATTTGTTGGTCATAATGGGTTCTAGCTCCGGTGGCAAAACATTGTATGTGTAGGTTCACGTTTTGGTATAGCCCCCATACAGCGGTACCTCCCGATATTCGGTATATATATAATTTTTACCACATTTTCCCAAGAATATGTCAAAAAATTGGTATCTATGGGTCAAATGTTTTCTTTACCCTAAGGTGGAGGGTATTAAAAGTTCGGCTCAGCAGAACTTAATGTTTTTTACTTGTTACTTATACTTTAGTTTCACCATGTTTGACCTCTCGCCCGAACTGTGTGAAGAAAAAAGGCTACCCTTGACTTACAAATTACTATGCCTCATTTCCGAACTATAACACACCACAGATTTTGCAAACCTCTAATTTAATGAAGACCACGCACATTTATATTTGTTTTACTATTAGGGTACAATAAAAGTAAGATTGGATCGAAACACCAAGCTCCGAAGTTAAATATTATTCTTCCAACCCTTATTTAGGGACACAATATATAGCTGACATGGCGTCATTGACAGATTAATTAAGACCATCAATTGCAGCAAATGCATTTCAGAATAAAAATTATTGGAAGTTACCAGCTTTTTATGACTTCCTCTTTTTAGTTACTGTGCAAACAGAAAAACGACACTTCCACTCGTTTGCCTATTGCACAATTCATTTGTTCCTTAGGCCGAAAGCACTTTGAGCTGCCCATGAGCATATCCCTTTGCCAAGGTATTGTGAATAAATGTGGAAGTGAATAAATAAAACAACAAAAATATAAAAAAAGGAAAGCAAACAAAAATGTAAAAGACCAGAACTGAAAGGCAAACATAACGAGCATTATGTACTCCCATAGACCATAGAAACGAATGAACGAACGAACGAAATCCATTTGTTTTGCTCCGTTTCTGTTTCTGTTTCCGTTCATTTTACAAATATTTCAATGACCGAGTTTCCACCAGTGTGTCAGTGACAAATGGCAATGGAATGGATTTAACTAGATTTTTCCGAACTACACATATTTTTTATTTCTTTTTTTTTCGGTTCTTACAGGATGTAAAGGCTAAGCCTGCTAATGTTGTTGCATGGAAAGCAACGGCGTCCAACATGTAGTTCATTATGTCCAAGTAGATCGGAGGCAAAGCTACTAACTGTAAACTCATTTTGTAACTTGGACAACAATTAAAATTGTTAAGGAAAATATTCAGAAAATCTGCAGGGAACAGAAGCATGCAATGAAATATTTTATTGAAAAGGGAAATGACAATACATTGAAAATGCGAAATTAAAATGAATGTAATTAAATACAAAGCAAGTAAAAAAGCTGTAAGTTCAGTCGGGCCGAACTTTGAATACCCTCCACCATTTGGTACAAATTTGGCCATTTTCCAAAAATTAAAATCTATTAAAAATTCTGTTAAAATCTTAAAAATACCGAATGTAGCCGTATATTAGGGTCTATACGACGATGTGGCTCAAATGCGAAATTTGAAACAATTCCGCTAAAATCATCAAAATACCGAATATCAAGGGGTACCGTTATATGGGGGCTATACGAAGACGTGGACCAGCACAAAAAAATTTCTGTCTCAGGCTGTAGTATCTATTACGAACGGCAAATACCAAATTTTAAAGTATTCAGGTGAATAATGCCGCTAAAATCTTCAAAATACCGAATATCGGGGGTACCGTTTTATGGTGGCTATACGAAGACGTGGACCAGCACGGACAATTTTCTGTCATAGGCTGTAGTACCTATTACGAACTTCAAATACCAAATTTGAAACGATTCCGGTGAATAAAGTCGCTGAATTCAACAAAGTGCCGAATATCAGGATGTACCGTTATATAGGGGCTATACAAAGACGTGGACCAGCACAAACATTTTCTGTCTCAGGCTGTAGTATCCATTACGAAACTCAAATATCAAATTTTAAAGTATTCAGGTGAATAATGTCGCTAAAATCATCAAAATACCGAATATCGGGAGGTGCCGTTATATGGGGTGGCGTGGACCTACACAGGCAATTTTCTGTCATATCCTGTAGTATTTATTACGAACTTCAAATACTAAATTTATAAATGTTCCGGTAAATAATGTCGCTGAAATAATCAAAATACCTAATATCGGGGGATACCGTTATATGGGGGCTGTACGAAGATGTGGGCCTACATGGCCCATTTTCAATACCAAAAGATATAATACGCGTTTGAGTAAATTTTTATCGACTTACTTCATTTCGTTTGGAAGCTAAAGTGATTTCCACAGACGGTCCGACATTGTTAAATCGACCTGGAAGTTTATGCTGATCAAGAATATATACTTTGTGGGGTCTAAAATGTATATTTCGAGGTGTTACAAACGGAATGACAAACTTAATATACCCTCCATACTATGATGGAGGGTATAAAAAGGTGAGTTCGGATGTGGCCAGACTGTATGATACTCTACACCGTTCTAACTAAAAGTTTGGAGTACCCATTAGCATGACAGGGGGCGTAAATATATCGTCACCAGATATGGTATTGTTTTTATGTCCTACACCACATATAGAAGAGCATTTTGTCTTTGTGCATTTGTTTGTAACATATCCATGGGAGCGAGACAGACCCATAGTTACTTTTGAGGATCTTCATAGAATCACTTTCTGAGTCGATTTATAAATGTCTGTCTGTCTGTCCATGTATTTTTGTGGATCGCATGTATATGCAGGTCGCATTTATCATCCGATTGAGATGAAGTTTTCCAAACAATATTTGTTTGGCACAAAGACGAACCCTATTGAAATTGGTGAGAATCAGTATAAATTTAGATAAAGCTCTCATCAATATCTACAACCGATTTGTGGTTAATTGTGCGCCAAATGGCCAATATCAGTCCAAACGACCAGAATTTTGGCACATCCGACTACAGTCTAGAAGTAAGTACATTAAATTTCGTGATAATCGGTTCAGATATAGCTATAGCTACCATATATGTGTCTCTTCCGATTTGGGGTTTTAAGTCCCTCACATTCGTAATACGCTCTCCACAAGAATGATATTTGGTACCAGATATCAGATACATCCTAAAAAATACCTCTACCAAGTTGTATCGGTTCAGATCGGTTCAGATTTGGATATAACTTCCATATATATCTTCAACAGGTTTCGGCTTAATTGCGCACCAAATGACCAATATCAGTTTAAATGACCTGAATTTCGGTACATCCGACCGAATTCAGTCTAGAAGCAAGTACATTAAATTTGGAGGAAGTCGGTTCAGATATAGCTATAGCTCCCATACATATGTGTCGTCCGATTTGGGTCTTTTAATCCCTCACATTCTTAATATGCATTCGACAACAATGATATTTTGTACCAGATATCCAAATTTTATCGATATCGGCTATGATTTGAATATAGGTTTATTGTGCAAATAATGGCTAATATCAGCCCAAATGGAGTGAATTTCGGGACGTACGTTTCCATTTGGTAGAACTCGTCCCCGATATAAATTTTTTAATGCAATCCTTCTGAAAGTGATATCATGCACCCTATAGCATTGTATTTCGGTATAAAAAATATCTCCGTCACATTTA